GTTCATGGAGGCAGCCATGTTTGTTCCGAGATGTGGGTAGCTCGAACGGGAGATTGTCGGACGTGATGTCACTCAACTCGGAATTTCCGAGTTCCGAGAGAAAAACGAACGCACCATTACTCGACAAAGTAGCTCAACTCGTTTCAGATCAGCGACCAATCGGTCATTTAGAGACAGGCAAGCATTCTACGGCAGGGATGCCTTTTTCGGCATAACACCGGGACGAAGATGCACGGCGTAACAAGCCATGATGTAGATCCCACTGTTCTTTTTTCCCCCAAAAATAACATTTAATATTGAAGATACTCAATGCACTTACACTAACATATATCATTTTCAGTATGGTTTATGTATTTTAGGCTTACCATCGTCTGTCAGTTCGTGCGCTCTCGATAAGCTGCAAAAACATCCCCATTTACAGATTCACGGTCAGCTCGCACCTACACGGTACCGCCAATGTCAGATTCGGGACGTTGGCGCAACTGCATGCGTACAAAAGGGATACAAGAATGTATACGTCTTATGAAACACTGTTGTTAATGTAATTCTCGTTTTAATAATGTTAATGTCATTAAAATAACATTTCTTTAATCAAAATACATAAGCAATTTAAAAAAAAAATGAAATAGTGGATCAGAGACAGACATGGACCTTTGAAATCTCTTAACTGGACAAACCAACATCAAAGAAAAATATATATTTATAGTGGAATACACATTACTTATTTACATTTCATTTACACATTTGTGGGTTGACATGAAAGGCATGAACACGTCACACGGAGATGTGAAGGAGCTGTAGGGGAGCGCCATGTGAGCTCGCCCCACCCACCAAGTCCGCAGAAGCTTCTCGGAATCCCCAGGCTCTTCTGCATGAAGTTCTCATTGGTTAAATGTACGTAACGCTTGACGAGCAAGAGACACTAACACACCCTCAAGTACAGTTCATAGCGATACGACCTCACACGTCGGAGTGGTAAGATAATACAGCAAGGTTATCGGAAACAAACAATGCCGAAGCCTTGTCATCATTCATGACAATTTGTGGATGTTAGTGCTAAAATTCAGAAAAAAAGCAAAACATATTCCATTCCATACAACTCCATCACAAGCTCTGAATGACCACCCGCTGGAAGTTGCCCACAGGTAACCCTCAGAAAACAGGACTTTGGTTTATTCATTCACCCAGTCGAGATGTCTTTCACCTACAGCACCTTTAGGCCATGCACACTTATTTCCTGTAAACTTGTTAAGAAACAGGTGGAACAAACCACAAAATATTTCGTAATATCTTGAACAGCGAGCCCTATGAAACAGGTGTAGTTAATGTCAGGGTGTTATCTATGCTGATGAGATTAATTTCTCCTGACAATCTTATGAAGGTTTTTTCGGCCCCTTTCAGAAAATGTGTTAGCTAGCTGGCATAAGGGTTTATGAACATTTACGCAGTGCTCAGAAACATACCACCAAAAGCAAATTTTGTAAGTCACACAAAGTTTTTGAGAGAACAAAAACTCTTATTGTATGCCAAACTATGTTGCATGATGTATCTATAACTGTAGGTCCTTGGCAGAAAACATAAGAAGTCAGCATCCTAATTTATAATCTGATTCAAACATATCACAATTTCCTCACATTTGGTTTCAACAACACTATGCTCTTCGGTGTCTATTAACATGCACATTTACTTAAAATCTGAGATCCTACTATCCAATAAACATGCAGCTTGTTAAACAGGCCAGCAGCTTGACCTGCCCCCCCACCTGCACAAAACAGGTGACAAGCAAGACTGAAGCAGGTGGGTCAATGGGTAATGGAACAAACCCAAATGATTACATAACCTGAAGCCAATGAAAACGTCAGAGCAGCAGCAGGCTAATGAATAGGGGATGATCCTTAATGTTACACAGCTATTACTGGCCTGGATGTTTTCAAGGCCGGAAAGAGCCCAGAAATGAACTTGAATGGATCTAGCTAAGGTGGAAAGGTGCCTAGCTAAGACTTCATCTAGGACTCAGCCCACCTGTACTGTGACTGAACTGCCAGACAGCACTGCAATAGCGAGCTAAATAAAATAAAGGTCTAAGCCAGTGTTCCTGAACTCAGTCCCCAGGAATCCGGAGACGTTTTTCGCTCCCTCCCAGCAACAAGCACACCTGAACCAAACAATCAAGGAGAACCAAAAGCACAATGTGGATTGTCTGAGGAGCCCAGAGGACCGGATTTAGAAACACTGCTCTAATCCAGTGTGTCCCATTCTGGTCCTTGGAGGACCTATACACAGTCCATGTTTTTGCTCTACCGAGAGCTGAGGGGGAGCAAAAATGTGGACCAGCTGTGGGTCCCTGGGGACCGGATTGGGAAAGACTGCCCTAATCCTCCACTACAAACCACGATCAGTTTCTGCTTCTCATTACTGTGTGAATGTTTTAAAACCACACCGTTACTGACACTGACCTTGCAAGGTGAAGCTGATTTTATTGTCTACTGGGGGGCTAAAGGTTCATGACAGGGTTTCGCATTTAACGGAACGGCACAAGGAGTTTGACAGTCTGACCGTGTGCAAATGTGTGACAGGAATTAAGGCACGCGCTGGGTTGAGGGATCACGTCGGCTTCAAAGTCTAAGTTCTACGATGCTTCCCTGCCACTCACATCCAAATACCAAATACTTGTTATTTACCCTTTTCATGCTTTTGTCCAAAGTAACGTACAAGCGAGGATCAGCGAACAGGGTCAGACTGTCCTTAAGGGCCTCGCTCAAGGTCCCAACAGTGACGTCAGTCTGCAAGTCACAGGATTTGAAATGGCAACCTTCTGATCGCAGGCAGAGTCCTGACCCACAGAGTCACACCCACCACCTCGAGCTTTGGTGGATGATCCATTACTAGACCTACAAACTCAGCGATTCCACAGTTTCCCACAAGGGTGGTTAACATTGTTAGTTCATTATGGTTATCATTGACAAACAGGATTATGAACATAAAAGATACACACAGCTGCCATCAAGCTGATGAAAGTCATTAAATACTGTACGTCGTACACCTCATCTTTCCGGCGTGAGCGTTTCAGTGCTTCTATTTTGACATTTTTATGTTCCTGCCGGGTGTCTCATTTCACTTTCCGTTAAACAAGTGAAAAAAAAATCAGGCACAGGAATATGGAGGAACATGAACTTCAGGAAAACCCATGAGGCAGACAGCAGGGGTTTTTTGTTAACGTCAAAATAAATCACGAGTTTAAATGAACAGTGAATACACCTGATACACCACGAGAGCGTACAGTACATATCTAAGGAAATAATTATACTTGTTCTCTACAAGCTTTCAAAAAACATGTCGACACTGTCCTAGCCATCGTGACATGCTTTGTGCAAGGAGGGTTAGTATATAACACAGTGTATCTTTCCACATCCACCAGCCATTACTTTGTTAATGTGCTTTGTCTCCTTTAACCTCATGTTCTATGGAGACCTTAAGTGAATACTGCTGCACCAGCATCAAACAGACTCCTCCAACAACTCAAGACTCCATTGGTATGGCTGGCGAGCACATTAGTGTGACCTGTAGCCATTCATGGTTCCACTGGTTCCACAGTCCAGATGACCTGACCCACGTTCCGGACGGGTTGGTACACCTAACGCAGGTCAATCGGGTCTTTGGTGACGGGAGAAGCTTTACCTGCGATACCTCAGCAGAATACGAAATACATCAAAACTAAAGTACCTTGATTCACTACTGATCTTTCTCACAGTCTCTACAGAAATACTGTGGCACAGTTCCAGCCCAGTGAAACTGTGGTGAACATGCTTACACTGAGTGGTGTACCAGAAGCTCTCAACCTAAGCCATACTTTTTTACCCATTCATACAGTTGTATATTTTATCATTTCAGTATGTTTTGTGGGTATGTCCAGACATAGGGAGTATGAATCGTGGAAGAAAAGGCACCAACGTAAGTGACTTTATCTGCATCGTGGTCTTAACATATCTGCCTCTAGAGGTCTGTACAGTAAAGTTTACAGTCTCCTACGTTGGTACTGTTCAAATCTCAAGTTCTCAACCAACAATTGGTAACTTGTATTCTATTTAAAGCAAGTTCTAACAGTAACCTGATATCAAGGGAGTCCAGCCACGCATGTGAAGTTGGTGTAAACTCAACCATGACAGCTCAACACTTCGACTGCCGTTAGACGTGGCAATGGAGGCCCACCTCCAAAATTAGCATTTTTTTTTTTTTTGCTATTTCCAACCTGGCAAATTCCTTCAATAACTAAGATCAATATCTGTCCAATATGACAGAAGGCAGTGTGTGGTTCACGGCAGAACAAGAGGTTGGAATATAGCACCAGAAGATGTTAGGAAGAGAACTGATACTGCACCTTTAAAAACCAAAAATATCCATATTGAAATGGTTTAATGCTGATTAAAGAAAATACTGAGAATGTTTCATGTTTAAAACACTAAGGAATGTCATCATTACCATTGGTAAAATGTCCAGGTACAGAAACTGATAAGTAATACTCAACATAAAGGAAACAAAAACAGGATTTTCATAAAAGTCAGCTGCTGAAATGTCAAGCAGAAATCCACGGAAACTAATGCTAGAAACCAGCTGAAGGCCCAGCTGGGGATGTCAGATAAGCGTGTCTTTAAAGCCCCCCCAACCAGACCTTCATGAGGTCCGCTGCACCTGGGACTGCTCACACGACGTCGAAGAGCTATTCAACAGTGTGAGTGTGAAGTGCGGGGAGACCTTCCATGGGAAGTACTGATTTGTCTGGTTGGTGTGGTTATGAACGGATGGGACCGGAAACTTGGGGAACTTGACGTCTGGTTGTAGCCAGGCCTGTGATACATCTTCTGGAAAAGGCCAGCCAGATCAGCTTTGACGGAAACGACAGTCTGACGTTTCTGGGTATGACAGGGAAGGGACTCCCCCCATTCTGGGCAGCGCAAAACATTTCTGGGAAAGAACGGTGGTTTCAGCTGTCGTAGCTAAGCCTAGGGTACTGCATCTGGGAGAGACCAGAGTTTGGATCCAACTGTTGTAGCTGGCCATGGTGCACGGTTACAGTGAGAGAGCAGGGAGTTTCTTAATTCTGTGTTGCAAGCCTAGCAGACATTCTAGGAGATACCAGCATGATGCTTCAGCTGTGGTAGCTGGGCACAGCCGACTGTTTCTGGGAGAGACGCATCAGCTCTTCTCGGATGGCCTTGATGAGTGAGGCAGACGAGTGGGCTGGCGGGGAGCTCTCCTCTGGGGGAGCGGAGCTGTACCCCGACCCAGGACCGTCTAAGTTGGCCGGAGGTGCGGAGGGCTCCCTCGGGGAGGTCCTGGGCATGTGCAGGACGGGGGATGAATAGCAGTCAGGATATCCATGGACCTGTGTGATGGGAGACCAATGGGACATTAGACATTGTATCTGCTAGCAGGCAGAGAGCCTCACTGCTCATCCACACAAATATGGTCAAAAGCAAAAAAAGTGACAAACAAGTCATGAGAAGCAAAGGGATTCTGATGGCGGTGATCTGTAGGACCAGAGGCTGAGAGAGGTTGAGCTTCTACATTTGCTGTAAGCCCACTGTGAGCCAGCTTGAGGTCCTGAGGGATGGCGGCTCCTGAGAAGTCAAACTATTTTTTTCCCCCCGGAGGGAGATGTGGAGGTGCTTGTGGATAATCATCTCCACAGTTTCAAGCCAAGCTCCAAGTTATGGCAGCCACACCAGGACACGAGATGTTTTACTCTCTACAAAAATTGAGGGCAACCAGGATAGTGACATGCAAATCTGAAAAGTTTCACAGATAGATCCTTTCAGGTGCAGTTTTTAGTATAAATGGAGTAGAAAGGGGTATGAGCAGACGACCCTAGGATGCTCCAGTGAAGATGGAGTAGAGGATCCAGTCAGTGTTGACTAAGTTGAACATACTGTTCCCTATTATACTGGCATAAAGGTTTGAATATGTTCATTTAGCCTAGTTTAGTTAACAGTAGATGTAATACTATTGAAATTGCACATCCTGATTTAGCCGAGTTTGACATGTCCCTGGGTCACCAAGGAAGGGGCTTGTGTTTGACTTCTGTAACCAATCATTGTATGACATCGTCACATGAATTAAAACTGTTTTCTGTTAAGCGGCCAGGTGCACAGATGTGTTAAGTACCTGTTTTTGTGTGCGTGTCATTTAGAAGCCTTACGAACAAGGCTGTACAGAGCAGTGTAAGGGCGCGTCTTTGTCTATGAAGTGCTGATAATAATAAAAAGGCTCCGCCTCCTGATCAGAAACAGAGGCGGAGCCTGCTGAGGGATGCACCACCCAGGTCAGGTGACTGCATGGCTGCAAGCCTTGAGTTTGAAAATGAGAAAAAAATGGACCAATGCGGTGATGTCATACACCGGAGACTGTGATTGGTTAAAGAAGTGACACGCAAGCCCCTCCCTGGGTGACCCAGGGACACATCAAACTCTGCAAAAATCTGGATGTCCGTTGAAAGCAGAGCTAGTTCACAAACAGGGGAAGAGAGTATGAACTGGGGCGGCCCGGGTACTGCAGGATGGAGAAGGACTGATTTGCTTGGTAGGCAAAGTGCAGAGGTTCAAGGGGGGGCTTCCATCGCGGTTATTAGGTGGGAGGGTGAGTGGCTCAAAGGTTTATATTAAAAACAAAGGAGAGAGGTGTGGGTCTGTAGGGGTTCAGGCAGGAGACATTTTGTTTTTTTAAGGACAGGAATGATGGGAAATGTTTTAAGGCAATTTGGGCCGGAGCACTGATTCAAAGACGAGTTTGAGATGCCTTGCAAATAGGGACGATAACTGTTCTGCTTGTGCTTTCGTTCGGCAGGAGAGAACAGGTCAGGTCCAGTGGCATGAGAATGGCCTGGGTGGGAGTGATGGAGTTTAGCTGGTGAAGCAGTGAAGTGTGGAAGGGTCTTGCCGCAGTTAGTCTGCCCCATGGAGCTGCTTTGTCGTGGCCTTTGGCAGATCTGATTGCATTGGGCCCTGTTGTACTTCTCACTAGTCTTGAAGGCCACCACCTTAGGCTGTTATAGACCACCAAGCTCAGTGTTGAACCAGGACTTGTCATTATATCTGCAGATTTTGTTGGAATTCAGATGTTTTCACAAAAACTGATGAATGAGGAGATCGAGTCCGGGTGTTGGGCCAGGTTGTCTTTGGCAGCTTCGTCCATGCAGTCTTCAAGTCCCTCAGTGACTCATCCATTTCCTCTGAGATCTTTCAACAGGCTTGTAAGTTTTGAGCCATTGCCTGCTAAGAAGTATCAGATGTATTATCAGACGGTCAAAGTTCTCCAAGGGGAAACAGGGAATTGCATGGTATGAATCCAACACTCTGTGGACTAGGGTCTCTTCTCTCTTCTTATTTCACAAGTTGTATCTGGGGAGTCCAATTCTCAAGTTATCATAGCTGAAATCACTCAGTATGATAACCACAGAGTCCTGGTGGTCTTGCTCGGCTTCTATTATCCCATCAGCCAACAGCTACAAGCCAAGTTAGCTACAGGAGGGATACACGCTCCAACCAGTATCATGAGGGCAAATTCACACTGAATGAAAATGTTTTTGATTAATAAAAGTAGTTCCCATGCCGCCAAACTGTGACGTGTAGAGGACAGTAGTGTCACTGCACCAAACTTGACCGATTAAAGTGTACAAAGCAGACTCCATGTTGACCCTTGTAAAGAAACAGGCAGGCAGGTTCCCAGCCGTGTGGGGGGTGGAGACGTGTAACCGAGATTCCTTAAAGCAGAAAGGGGGAGGTGTGCATAAACCTTTTCATGTTAACCAACATCCAAATTAAGTCGGTCAGTGGGACATGAATACCGTGTGGGAGGAAGTCGCAGAGGATTCTGGAGCTAGGAGATCCCACACCGCCGGGATGAATGGTAAGACACGGCCTCCACCTTCTAAACTGCTCCCCCCTTAATTAGTTGTCAAATGCAGCTTCTGTGTCTTTGCATATAGAATTTTGACGAAATGTGTCCTCTGCATTTAACCCATATGTGACATAGCAGGGGGCAGCTAATTCAGCTGTATTTAGTATTTCACAGTAAGAATGTCGCAGTAGTTTGAGAGAGTCAGAGTCTTTCATAAAGGTATGAGGGACACGACAGACTGACAGCAGCTTACCTGGTCTCTGCCGGGTACGGCTCGGCTGAACTCCTCCTCAGAGTGGTAGCGCCCCCAACTGGAGCCTCCTGGGTGAGCGGAGGAGACCCGACCCAAGCCTGGGTATGCGCCAATCCGGCTCGACAGCCCCACCTGGGTCAGCTGGTGCACCTGGGCACCTGCACACACACACACACACACACACACACGTACGTTTGTATTCTTATCTTTGTGGGGACTCTCCATTCATTTCAATGGGCATAACCCTAATCTCAGCAATGACAGCCTAACCCGCTACCCAGCCCTAACCTTAACCATAAGTAACCAAACGAAATACAAGACATTTGGCAGTTTTAGTTTTTTGACTGCAGTCACAGATTTTTATGAGTTTCCCCTTGTGAGGACCGAAAAAAATGTTATGGTCCCCATAACATCAAATAACAGTTTTTTATCATATTGTGGGAACATTTGGTTCCCACAATGTAATATAAACATACACACACAGACACACACAGAAACTGAAATAAATCCCACAATGTGGCAGAGACCAATTCCTCTGTCACCATCTGTGTTACAAAAATACCACAAGTATGTCCGAGTGAGTCACTCAGGAGGCTGATCGCTCAAAGGCTGAGACACGGGTCTCCTTCAAGCACAGGTCTGCAGTGTTACCTGTGGCGCCCCCAACAGGCCGGGGTCGGGCAGAGGAAGGCAGCTCGTCGGTATACAGCCCCCTGCTGGAGTACAGTGCGTCTGGCTGGATCTGGTCGGCTTGAGTTGGGTCATCTGCGGGGAGGTAGTCCGATTCCTGGCCCTGGCTGAATCCAACACGGAGTATATAAATCACAAACAGCACACAGGGCTTCTGGACAGCAAAGAGAACCTGTAATTCGTTTAGCAACGAAGGATTAAACGGTGTCCTATTTTCCTTCTGTGGCAGCTTTTTCGTTTAGCGGCCACTTAATAAATATACACAATTACCAATATTTGAAGGTTTAATCCCCACGATGCATATTTCTGACAAAAGCTCTCCTATCTGAGATTTTGAAAAACGCACAGAAATTAGTTATCAAAGGCACTACTACAGGTGAAGGGGATTATGGGTAATGTGCTCCCAGCGATAAGGCTACCGGGTATAAAGAATGACACCAAGCTACACCTCAGAACCATGCCAGTTTGGGATGCTCAACCGAATAAGTTCAGCTGCTCTAAATACATTATTCATGAGGCCAACATCTTTGCACGCGACAGATGACAGAAACTGTCAACGGAGTGTGTGTGGAAAAGGCTACTAATCCGAGAATCCATTATGAAGCAGGGAGAATGCCAGTGTGGCACAGGGGAAAACGGCTTTCACGCCAATGCGACCCACCTCTGTGTTGGGCTCTGGGCTGGGGGGGACACTGCCGCATCCGCATACCTCTAGGGGGAAACAGAGAGACAGCGTGAGCACAGAGGGACAGCACAGAGAGACAGCGTGAGCACAGAGAGACAGCACAGAGAGACAGCGTGAGCACAGAGAGACAGCACAGAGAGACAGCGTGAGCACAGAGAGACAGCACAGAGAGATAGCGTGAGCACACAGAGATAGCACAGAGACAGCGCGTGCAGAGAGACAGCGTGAGCACAGAGAGACAGCACAGAGAGACAGCGTGAGCACAGAGAGACAGCACAGAGAGACAGCGCGAGCACAGAGAGACAGCACAGAGAGACAGCGCGAGCACAGAGAGACAGCGCGAGCACAGAGAGACAGCGCGAGCACAGAGAGACAGCGTGAGCACCCCAATCGGACAGACAATCAAGAAAACAAGCTAGAGTGGTATATGGTGTCGCTGGTTACAAATCACAGGTACTTCTAATTAACCGTTAGCCAGTCTTATACTGGTGGGAGAGGTTAGCACACACACACATGGACACACATGCACACATACACATTTGTATTCATATCTTTGTGGGGACCATCCATTCACTTCTATGGTTAAAACCCTAATGCCAACATGACGACCTTAACCCCTACCCAGCCCTAACTTTAACTATAAGTAACCAAACAAAATACAAGAATTTTAGTAGTTTTAGTTTTTGATTGCAGTCACAGATTTTAATAAAACTGAGTTTCCCCTTGTGGGGACTGAAAAAATGGCCCCCACAATGTCAAAATAACACATTTTTAGCACATCATGTGGTCCCCACTATGTGAAATACACATACTGTATAACCCACACGCACACACAAATACATCCTTTCTGGCATGTTGTACACACTTCACTCTACAGTGATCAATGTAGTACAATGTCAAAGAAAATATTCAAAAAAGAACTTTCTCAACACAGAGGAACTAAGACATAAATGTACATAAATGGTCTTTTGCGGAAGCTTGAGGAACCTTTCAATACTACACTGACTCATACTATGAAGACAGAAATTTGGACAAAGCCAGATACCATGAGATAGTAGGAAGCCCATTCAATTAATTTATGAAAAACAGACTAACCCAGACACTCTTCTGCCTCATTCTGCTAATATGGAAAAATACTGGTCAGAAAAGGTGCTGGTATCTGGCTTGCTTTGGTTCACACCAGAGAGTAGAACTGTCCAGACCACAACACGGTACTTGATTCTGCCCGTATAATTAGAGTCCCTCTCAGTTCTGAAACTGCCCCACCCTGAGACTCGTGGAGTCGCATAGAGAGGTGGAGGGTGTAGAGGTGAGCGGCCTCCCGCTCAGGCTGGATATCCCGGGGTGACTAACAGGCCCGGGAAAGCCCAATTAATAGCCAGCTCGATGGGAGCCATGCACTGGCAGCCTCTGCAGCTGCTGACTGCACAATGACAGGCCGCGAAGCTTCTTGGCGCCGCACAGCACATATCGCTGCCTGCTCTCAGATGCAGTCCAAACCCAGAGTTCACCTTTCGGTCTGGGCCCAAGGCGCATGAATAATACAGAGAGACGCTGTGGCCTGCTGAGCCTGGCCAGCATGCTGCGAGACCTTAGAAGGAGTCCGGCTCCTCGTTCTCTATTAAGCGCCTCCTGCAATTTCAACTATGGGTATAAGAATCCGACTGGCAGAGAGACCATGCATAAGGGAGAGGGCTTCCCCATGCTCACAATCCCACCATCAGGACAGAGAAGAGCCCTCCCTCCCACCGTCAGTACAGAGAAGAGGCCTCCCTCCCACCATCAGGACAGAGAAGAGCCCTCCCTCCCACCGTCAGTACAGAGAAGAGGCCTCCCTCCCACCGTCAGTACGGAGAAGAGCCCTCCCTCCCACCGTCAGTACGGAGATGACCCCTC